TCCGATTGAGAATCCTCCACGCTATCCACTAGGCCATCCGATCGTTGTAGCTGAACACCGCTCCGATCATTGAAGAAACCATCCCGACAAGCCGCCCAGAGGCGTTCGCTGTCAATCACGTGCCGCAAATAAGACCCCATTTGCGACTACTTTCCTCCTCGATACCTATAGTGCCTTTATAAGGACCCACTACTCAGCCACTGGTCAAAGTTGGAAGTGATTTGGAGCCCATAGAAGCTCAAAACCAGCCCGTTTCCTTACATTTCTTCTTCACTCCTTTTTTGGTATTCAAAGAGCCATTTAGGAAAAATGAACGTCAGTTTGGTAGTCCATGAACGTGCCCCTACACAATGCAAAAAACCGTTTTCAAAAAGCGCGCCACGTCCTGAACGACCTCCCTGGTAAGAGACATTGCTTCAGCCATATATTTAGCAGCTGGGCCATGCGGTTTTGGCATTTTAATCAGAGGTATAAACGAGAGGCCGTCTAAAATGCTCGATTTCGTCGACCTTTGCAGTTTGAGCACTCAAATATTAGTGGAGAGAGAATTTATAAGAAACTCAGAGGACTATCGTGTAGGGCAAGGAATTCTCTGCAAAACGGTATAAAACTCGATGGCAAAACTTTTCTTCTTCAGCGCGATATTTCGAGTGGGAAAAAACGCCATTACTTATGGGCCGACACAATAGTTTTCCAGGGTTCCTCAAGCGTAGTGAGGTCATGCATCATGCTGCTGCAGCCTGGCCTTTCCCTATGGAAATCTTTATGCATTTTCGATAGATCATTGGTGTACTCCATTTTCCTTTATTATTCACACCAATGGTCTGTATCCATCGTTTTGTCTAGTTTCTCTAGTTTTCACCACTTTTAAATAAACTGAATGAGCGATTTCAGGTATACTCCATTGAACACACGAGAGCACCTCTTTGGAGTGTCAACCTGGCTCCGCTTTACTCCTTGGCGATTCAATCACTGCTTTTTGAGTTTTGGATAATTACAGAAAGACGAAATATCAGTCTTATCCTGCCAATCTGAAGCAGATGGTTTTGAACCATCGAAAGCTGGTTCGAGGGTCGGGTTCAGACAGTGAGTATTCCGAAGGTGAGCGAAGACTGTCTCAAAGGCAGTGGGTACGACTGCTAGGGCGACGGTCACTGCCAGCGTGATTGTTGAAAGGACTGTGTGGGGTGTGGTCAGTCACCTTCTCGCGCTCCCACAGCAATGACGGTGACATTACTCAGCCCTCCCTCCGGATCACCCTGAAGGCATCATGCTCTTTGCCTTCAAGATCATACGGTTTGGTAACTCACCACTGATCATAAGGCATTGTACCCACTGCCCCGAAAGGAGCGGTCCGCGATGACCTATGAAAATGCAAGAGGTTATGTGGGAAGGTAGTGCGGTCCGGAGTGGACAACCCTGTGCCAGTTTCGCGGCGGAAAGTTGTACGGTAAAGGGATTAAGGCGCAAAGTTGCTTCAGTGGTACATCCCTTTTCCAGTGACTCCGCCTCCAGACTCCGCCTCCAAAGTCGGCCTTCCAGCCAAAAGTAATGCTCCCGGGCAAGTATCATGGAGTGGATGCATTCAATGTCTCTTGTAGAGTCATAGGGTTCATTACTGGGAATCAGCCGACGGGAATTGTCCCAGCGCGCGGTCTTTTCGGTCTTTTACCTCTACAGTTGTTTGAGGCTAGAGGAGGCCTGACGAATGCGTTTCCAACGTTCCCTTTGGCATTTTCTCTTCATAGATTGGTTCAATTGGCGGATTTTCTTCCATAAAATGCGACATCACCTAGGCTTTGCATCGCGGACCGTGCCTTCAAGGTCATCCGGTTTGGCAACCTCCAGAACCACCATTAAGGCTCAAACGCGCCACAAGTAGACTTTTTACTGCGGCACACGACCTTCCAAAGAACTTTGCCTGAAGTTTTCTTTAACACTGCTCTGTTCTGAAGTACAGTTCAGTCTCACGAACATCTACACCTGTCGTTGATGCGGACATCAGATTTAAGTATTTTCTCACTTTTCAGATGGACATTCAGTCTCTTGCGAGACTCAAGCAGGTTTCGAATCACTCTTTATCAACAATCTCTTTCAAATACCACTTCAGAGGTGAATCTCGTGACCAATTTCGATGCTTTATTCGACAAGGACGCAATGTCAAATAACACAGGTGTTATTATTATCTCATTTATTAGATTTTACAGCATAGTCCATTAATCTCAGTTTAAATGATTTTATTAGTCCAAAGAGTCCTTCAGACGATGAGAGGACGATTCGGCTTTCCTCGCCAATCTCTTGACGTGTACCTGCAACCACGCTGATATTACAAGAGTCGAACTACTCTTTTTTTGCCAAATAGCTTTGGGCACGTGATGAGTGCGATGAGGCGCTGCCGCGCGACAAAAGGGTGCGACACTTTGACATCGCTAGTTTTTTCTTGGGGACTCGGAACAGGGAGAGGGCAAACAAATCGAGGTGGTGTGAGAAAAACGTTTCGAAGTGACGAGCGCTTACAATTTCAGATGATTTCACCAAAGGAGAGCAGTAACAGAGTGACCGAGCAATGTGATAAAAATTTCACTCCTTCAAAATTGATAAGGCCCACATAAGAGTACAGCACAAAGCTATAGCAATTTTTTCTCGCCGAAAGCAGTTTCCGCTAAAAGTTTGTCCGCAAGAGTGCTTTTACCTGTTGAACACTAATGTCACATCAGCTTGACCCGTAACCAGTTGGTGTCCGCACCACAGGCGCCGGTCCAAGATGTTTCAAAATACCATATCCGTTTAAAACCTGCCTCCAAGGGCCGTTCAACAACCTGAACGCAGAAATCGCATAACTTGAAACCGCCTGAAGCACGCCCCACGAGCGACGGCACCATACATATGTTCTGGACTTCAGTGCATGTAGGGCAGACTCTCGTCGGATTTGTGCCAAACGGTGAGGGCTGTTAGGGGAAATAGCGAGACAGTACATCATCCTTTCTAGTTACCTGAGATATTGGTCCTTCAGGAAGGGAGGGATCACTATGTCGAGGGAAGAGTGCAGGCGAGCAGAAGCAGCCGGCGCTATCACGTGTAGCTCTCTTAACTTCATCTTTAACGTGCTTGGCAACAAACTTCATGTGAGGACAAATTTTCACCCAATCTAGTGATCTAATGAATTTTGGCCTTCGCCTGTGGCGCGGACGCGAGGAAGTTTTAAGTTTGAGTCAACGGAGTAAAGAGTATGAGTTTGGGTCATACGGATCGAATAGTCATGTTCAGAAGATCACACATTCCCCGGGTGCAACTTCAGCCAAAATTGCTCGGAGTGCAAAGACGTAAAAACTGCCCTGATCTTGAATGACGGGGCAGTAAAGGATAAACAGTGCCAGTAGCACAAACAAGCGATGATGGTAAGAGAAGCGAAGATAATAAAAGAAACGTGAACGAAGTCCTACACGCATTCACAAATCTTCTTTGCCATATTTGGCGCACTCTGTATATCTTCGAAAACGATAGTCCAAACAGATCAATGGTGAGTAGAATAATTGCGAGAGATCATTCGAAGTGACAGAGTGCCTTATATTGACGTGCAATATTTGGGTCTCTTTTGAAATTGTCTCACACCTTTATGGCGTATTGCATGGTTTTTCAATTTTTTTATGGTATGGCTTTCACGCGAAATCACTGAGATATAAAAAGGAAACGACATGGGCACCCTGATATTCCCATATTTATTTCTTATTTGACAGCTTCGTACAGAATTTACGGGTTTTCTTCTTTTGAAAGCACCTTGCCTACAACACTAAAGACTGGAGGGCCTGCAGTGACTTACCTGCTACTGTGATGTCTGTTCTTCAGGGTTAGCATATTGACGATTGATACGCACTTAATGCACGCTTTTTAGGCCACGTGGGACCGCGTGAATTGTATACGAATCACACTCAAAAGTCCACAACCTTTTCCGGCTTTTGCGGAAGAAGAAGTGGTCACTAACTTGCAGCAGAAAACTAGTAGAAATTACTCTCTTTTGGCCGTGTCCCTCGTCCCCCTTACCTGCCTTAGCACACCGCTTGGCACGAAACAGACGGGGATCTGCATTACCCGTGCGGAGGTCAAAACAGTCATGTGGTGATGTAGCCTGTAATAGGGGTGGTTAACGATTTCGTGGCACAGAAATGACCACTTTGAGATCAGGACACCAAATGAGCCCAGTATGCAGTTTACACAGCATTTGGTGGCAAAGGTGGTCGCGTCAAGTCGGACTAGTGCGGTATTCGTGATCAGTGCGGCGAGTAAGCCTTATGGTAGGGTAGAGATTCAGCATGATAAATTTCTTGAGCTTTGGGCTAGTAATAGTTGAATAGTATCGAATCCCTAGAAGATACACGAAATTTTACGTTCTGCTCATCACCACATATATTTCAGGATGAATATTGTCATCTTTCCTCCTTGCAATTATTGCTTTTGTGTACACTCATCCTAGACGACATATGAGAGAAATTGTCCTAGATACAGGATCTGGATCAGTTGTCAGAACAGGTAGAGAGTTTCGGCAAAGTGCAGTAGGTTCTCTTTTTTGGAAACAAGCATTTCATACCCCAGATATGAAGAGGGAGTGGCTACGAAACACGTGAGCACGGCACAGCATGTCTGATTCTTGTTAGACAGTTCTATTTGAGAAACAGTTGTCCTGCTCTTTTTTGGGCAAGCAAAAAAGAGTAGGACCACTGTTTTCTGTTTTCTTTTTTTTGCATGATCCCTAAGGTGGCAGCATCCCACCAAAACGCAGTCGCCGCCACATCAGAGGAAGTACGCAGCCACGCCCACTCCATCTCTGGGAAACCTAGTGTACCTCATTATTGACGGGGCATGCTGTGCCTGGGTTGAACGACATCGGTTATGTTCACAAAAGGTAGAGTGAATCCTTGAGGAAAGCTGGAGATCCTCCATAAGCTGATACATTTCGTGTACATACAGCCTTTTTTCCAGGACAGTTCAAAAAGAGATGCAGGAACAAACGACCGTCGACAGTTGTCATCCATCATCATCATCATCATAAACATCGTGATAATGGTATGACAAACGATTGACCAGGTCCCTTGAGAAAACAGTGCCGAGGCAGTTTCGGAACTGGTAATTTGTGTCATTACAAGAAAAATAAGCTCCGTCAATGCCCTTCCCAATGATGAAACAGAACTGATGTCGAAGGTGAACTTGTATGTGTGTGTGTTTTTTTTCAGATGATACTAACGACCCGCCTGTGGAAGTTGAACAAGAAGTGATTCCTCTGCCACCAGACGGTTTGTGCCATGGACATACACTGACTATCATCGCAAAAGGGCGTGTGAAGTAGCGTGGATTGTCGCCAGCGGCAGCCTTTCCCACTAATTGTTGCCGGCTTTAGACGACACCTTGCAGGCGTTGTGGATCGCAGTAGAGCGGTATTTTCCACAACTCGACGCTGTCTTAGGCCGACGACTAATGACACAAAAGCTTCCCTTGCAGCAATTGATCCACGCCCCTTCACATGCACTCTCGTTCGCGTTTAAGCGAGTGAAATTTGAAGACAAGCTCTACACACTCCTTTAGGGATGGCCGTTCCCAAGTGTGAGATGAGCAAGATGGCAGTGCCACTCTCTTTGCCCAAAGATGCGCGGAAACTGGACTGGAGAGTAGTGATACTCGGTGCTGAGCCATATTCCGCCCTTGTATCTGCGCAAGCGCTGGTCCAGTGCTTGCGCAAATAAGAATCCCTACAGCAAGACGCATATCAAGCAACCAAAAGTGAGAAGGCAGAGACAGACAAGTAGCGCGCCTTGTTACGATTATGGGTGTGGCTGGCTCCTAGGCAGTGCAGCCTGCTCCTGGGCAGCTCCAGGCGCAGCATGGAATCGACACCCGGGTACTGCTAATTCAGTGGTTGTATTTGCAGCCGAAGAAACCTGGAGATGAGGAAATTTTTGATGACAAGACTCAACCGGATTGAAATGACAAAAAAAAACAATGATAGTCAGGTTGCAATGTGACGTACATTATGCGGAATAGTGCGCGGGATAATCTTTATACAAGATACCGTAATTTCAAATGCTACGGTATGAAACCCTACAACAACTAGCCTCCATATCTGTTGTGCACATTGGCAGGGAAAGCTGCTACGCTACATGTGCAGATACATTCAGCTCACACATTGGTAAGGGTTAGGAGTGTGAAGTGAAGAGTTTGTGTTCGCCAAAGTTCCTTAGATATTTCTCAATGAAAAAAAAACCTTCATCTTTTCAGGCCAGATAGATCCTGACAAAAAGTGACAGGATCTCGCAAGTAAAGTCTGCTGATGAGATGGCAAAGGCATCGGTCATTTGTGATTTCATGATACTTCTCGATCGTTTCTTCCGACATTAAAACCTTGTCATTCATAGATTTTTTTCAAGGTTTTGTTCAATTTTGCATCGTTCGACTGCTCTATATTCAGCCTATTAATGGTTGTTAGTCTGGGGTCCTACGCAATTCTCTTTTGAAGACACATGGTACGCTCAAAACAACATTGTCGGCGTGATTGAGAAAAAAAAAAAAAAAAAAAAAAAAAAAAAAACAGCCGTCCCCAGGGCGTCGATGTGTCGTGGTTTCCCCGCCTGAAACTGCACGGGGGTCCGAGTACGGGACCGTGGAAAAGGCTTATTCCTTGCTACACCGCCCAAAATGCAACTTGCGCGCGGTGAATTTTGCTTGCCGGTGAGGTTAGCAAAGAATAAGCCTGTTCCACGCGTCCCGTACTTCGACACCCCCTGCAGTTTCGGGGCGCGGAAACCACGAATCACATCGACAATGCCTGGGGGCTGTTTAGTGCTCATATCACCCTTAATGTGTTTGAGCCGTAACCATGTGTCTTTAATCTGTCCAATGCCCTACACATTTCGGTAAACGTGATTCGAAATAATGCATAATCGCAATATAGTACCGTAACATTTCTGACTTGACCGCAATTTTTTTGCTCTGCCTTCCAGCTTTACTACTGATGCGGCAGTAGATTGCCATAGGTCTTCTGGAAAAAACACTTCGAAAAAGTTTGATTCAGTAATTTGCAGAGATATCAAATAGCGTACAGATGTAGATAGACCATCATCAGTCGCGAGGGAGTGAGGGTTGACGCTTGTGGTGCCTGAGTCTGACCACTGTGACAAATAACTTACCTATACTAACAGTGAGGCTCCATCGGGTCAATCTGGCCTTTTGCGCTGAGGTTGGCACTGTTGTACGCATCTTGAGACCCTGAATGAGGGCCTGCTCTCCGATTTCGTGGTGGAATACCTCCCTGAACCAAAGTTGAAGATCTCACCCACCTTCTTTTATAAAGCTGTCTTTTCACAAGAGGCAATTAGATCACCAAGGCGGCTGAAGGCTCGTAGCATTGGGTAGTCTGGAACTCTGAGAACAGTGACCACAAACATAGTGCGTGAAAATATCGTATTCCCACTCTGTGAGGGAACCACCTGCAGGTATAAAGAATTGCAGCTTAAATGAATTCCTGGGGGGCCGTAGCTACTCTTAATGCATTTTCCTGCCGAATGAGTGTGACATTTGTGTTTAGGGAGTCAGACCATCCCTGAAGACAAATTTCCATCTGAACCTGAAATCTTGACCTAATCTCCGAAAAAAGTACTAGTCACATGATGAAAGCAGCCAACCAGAGGTCCTGTTTCTGTCCTATCCTTGCTAACTGGCTTCGAGTGGACTTACATAAATTCTATTTGGGCATACTGGAGTGGATCGGACCAGAAGATGATCCGAGGTGGCAGGACGAAGTATGAGAACAACGTGTAGCCAGTGAAAAATAGGTTTCCACTCTGCCCATCTGTGACCAGTATAAGGAGAGGTCACTAACCATAAGAGACGTGTTACTAAGTGGTTGTGGAAGGAAATAAAAAGATTGAAAAAGCAGACTGCTTCTATGTAACTGTTCCTATGTATGTAGGTAAGAGAGAAAGCTCTCTCTCTCAACCAGTATTTATATTTCTAATCCTTAGCAGCATCAAATTCAGGCCTGAGCGAAGCAATAACAATAAAATACGATACAAATAAATCTGAAGCCAGGGAACAATTTCCCATAGCTATGTTGTAAAATATGAAACATTAATCTGTGCTATAAAAGTACCGTGGATTTTCTTCTTTCATCATAGTCATCGAACGTGCTGCCGTTAAGAATATGCCAATAAAAGCAACGAGATGGGCACAAGCAAGACGAACGTCCTACTTTTACGGTGCTAAGGGTGGGAGACTGGCACCAGTAAACGCCACACCGCACACAACGAACTGCTACCATTTCTACCGTACCGCGAGCGGCAGGCGATGCTGCGCGCTTTTTTTCTTCGCAACAAGAATGAAGAATTCAGAAGTACCGTGCAATAGCAGCTATAGTAGTATAGCAGTGTAAGTCTAGCTGACATGCAGCAACGAGAAAAAAATAGGAGCAATCCAAAAATGGCACTCCTGATTGTTTCAACTAATTAATGTTCATAGTCCAGTAGCAGTCCAAAGTACTGAGTTGGCCCATAAGTAATGGCGTTCTTTCCATTAGGTTGGCGGGAAAGTTCTGTCACTCTTTTCCGAACTCAAATTACTTGCCCATTACCAAGAGTGGTAACCGGTAATGTAAGCTCTTATACAACAAGGAGTGGTCTCTCTGTTAGTACCACTCGCTTGCCTCTTGCTTCTTCTTCTGCAATATGCACAAGGATTTTATCCGCTACCATCGGCACCGACCCCTCCAGACGCTTCCTCAAACTCTTTCTTCCACCACCCTGACGCCAGCGTGTTAGCTGCAGATGCCAAAATAATGGAGCTGAATAAGCACGATGCCCCAAATCAGCAACCTTACCACGACAGTGACGCTTCAAGGCGGGAGCCTAGGGAGCCTACAGTTTTGATGACGAAGTGAGGTTTGGGTTACCTGCAAACTCAGCTTGAGGGAGCTGTGGGTCGGGAAACTGCTGGATGAAGAAGCTGCTTCTCGGTCAATGCGTACGCAAAGCAGCTACGAGATCTAAGGCGTATCGTCGATCAGAGGGAAAAATTTGTCCGCACAGCCGGCCCTCACCAAGATAGTGCAACGCACTCCGTCCAAAAAAGTTCGAGCCGTACCTCATGCAATAGAGCTGGATGGCTCTCCCCTTGCACTGGTGTAGCACAGACATTGCTCCTTCTAACTGCGAGTTGCCTCCCGTACTCAATCGTTATGTGGACGAGAAAACCTCCATAACCCAAGTTCAAGTCGAGGTTGAGATGGTGTCCAACTTTGCGTCGTGTCTCCCTGCATTGTGAAGCGATGGCATCCATGAGGTGCTCAAAAACTGGCAAGGACCCCGCAGTACATTGCTGTACAACTTTTGATCTTACACTCCTCTCTATAAAAAGAAACCCTAATTTGAAAAAAAGTGACAGAACTTTCCTGCCAACCTAATAAGTCCAATTCGCTTCAAATGGCGAGTTTCGCTGATGACTTCCGTACTGCTTGGTGGCTTTTTCTGCCCCCATAAGATTCTTCTCGGGATTTTTCGCTTGATTTTCCAGAAGCTTACTCTTCTTCAATGCTATTTTAAGAGCGGTCGAAGTGAAGTGTCAGTCCAATAGATTGCACACATTCAGCACCCTCTCTTTTTTCCCATGCAATCAAGAAGGCGAAACTGCAGAGGCCAATTTGTTCAATATCTGTCCATAGAGCGATTTTTTTCAGGAAGGCACAAAACGGTTCAAACGATCCAAAGGGGAACTTATTGAATCAGTTTACTCAAAGAGATTCACGCAAAAAAATGGGTGCATGTTAGAGGTCATGGAATACTCCCCCATCATTTTGAGCATCACCATCTGTCGATAGAAGAGGATTGAAGGTTGGTAGATGGGTTCGGCAGGTGGTCGCTCCTCACGTGGAGCCTATGCAGTGCACTTCCACAGGTTCCGTATTCCCAGCGCTTGACCTGAGTCAAGGTTCAACCCCTCGCAAAAGCACCATTTCTTGATCATCTACACAGCACAAGTTTTGAGCTGTTATCGCAATTCGTGAGCGAAGTAGAGTTTGAAGGCAAAATATTATATTATTTCTCAGAAGGTATCATTTTTGAAGACCCGAGCCTCCATTTCCAAGAAGTGCAAATTGACGAAAATAGAGATTTTATAGAAATTCAGGTACATTTACTCGTAGAGCGGAAAGTAATCTGTCAAAAAAAGTAAAATACTTCTGAAAAATTCTTCACTGTTTACATGACATTTATTGTGGAGGAAAAATCGCCATTACTCATGAGCCAACCCAATAGTTCAAAAAAGTACTTGACGTATAGCTGCGGAAAAAAAATCAGAGCAAGCCACGGAATGGCCTTTCTGCGGTAGTGTGTGAAATGAGCTTCAGCGACACTTATAACACTATCACTTCTCGTGCGTTCAGAATGTCGAAAATCTGCAAAATTTGACATCATTCTACAAGATCTGTTTCAGTTTGCAGACATCCCGTTCCCAGTGTATTTTCTATTATGCTGTCGATGATATGCCTGGAATTCTCAAGCGTTCTCATCCAAGCTTTCATCACAGGCTCATAAAAATTTCCAAATAAACGCTCGCATCATTTTTTAGAGCCATTTCATTGCGCTTTTACCATCATGGTGGACGTTAGACCTGAAATTGCGGTTTTGATAGAATTAGATGTATGAATAAGCAATGAGCAGAGAATGTCCGACTCTCGGCCTACCACTTACGATTAAACATCTCTGCCTTTTGGACATCCTTGTGTCAAACATTCCTTTCTCTCCATGCAAAGTTGAACAAGCTGTTCCTAAATATGTCTGTCCTCATACTGGTTACCATAGCTCTAAAAGGAAACGCTCTCTCTAGTTATCACAAGAATGCTGAGATCAAAGGTTGCGTCAAAAGTCGAACCCGAGAGGGAGCTCAAACTCGTATCTCTCGCTTGCCGGGCAGTTGTGTTATCCTTCGCGCAACGGGGCCGCTTTTACCCTTTTCCAAAGGCTCCTTGTGCCATTGCCTTCAGTTGTTGTCGCAGCAGTTATTAAACCAAATCAGCTTTAAAATATCTGAAAGCCATCATCATTGCAGTTCACGGTCCGATATCGGCTAACTGGTTCATCACCTTAAAAGTGTGAGTGCTGGAAGACAATGGCACAAAAAGCCATCAAGCTGAGAGAGTATAAGTGGACCCATTGGCGTAATGGATAACGCAACTGCCCGATAAGTGGGAGAGGCGGGTTTGAAACCCGTCCGGGCTCATTGTCCAAAGCTCAGCATTCTTGCGACAACTTCCGGAGCGTGCACTGCGGCGGTGATCAGCAGATATCAAGCTAAAACTGTGTTTTTAGGTATTCTCCAGCTTCTCTCTTGCTGTAACCTCGGCATTGTTGTATGATTCGTTAATACTGCTGTGCCTCTCGAGGTTTTCAGGTGGAATATTTATTTAGCGGCCTAACGTTTCGACGTGGTCGTCTTCTTCAGAGGCCTAAACGCGTTTCGAGTTAAGGAGATGAACACTACCCCGCCAAGCGCCCAACCAACCCTAGCAGTTCCGATGATGTGTTCGGAACTCAACAAGAAAATTCTACAAATTCGAAAAGCGCACTCACCAGGGTTCCACCGCAAATCCGCCGTCTGTTAGTCAGTAGCGAATGAGACCTACTGTAGGGTCTCCTTATACGTATAATGTTAAGGAGACGCACGTAACACCGCTACTTATAATTCGCAGTATGGCATGAACGGCAAAAAGTCATTAGCTATTGACGGACACTCATCTCTGCTGTTCATCCTAGGATTCCTGCTGGAAATCCAAAACGCCTCCAACGCCTTCCTAGCAGAAATTTCCGTCTCCTGCGCCAATATTATACACTTGATCTCGAAGTTGTCGCCATTATGCTCCTCACTTTTATGTCTACCCAGCGCTGTCGTGAGCCGACCCCGCCTCATACCAGTTAGGTGCTCGTTTATTCGTACACCTAGCGGTCTTCCCGTCTCTCCGATATATGTGTATCCACACGACTGGCATTCTATTTGGTAGATCACACCTAATTTTGCGCAATCACCAAATCTGCCATGTGGACAGATGACACAATCTCGCGATATGCACTGTTTATCGTAGAGCCTGTTTCGAACCAGTTGCTGCTTGATGTTGCTGTTAGGGATGTTAACTAATTGAACAACATCTTGCAACTGTGCTCTAACACTTCGCTGTATTGCGGTGCTTATCGCATCGGAGATGAAAGGAAGACATAGCGGTAGTCTGTTCGGGCGGGGATCTTCTCGCACATTACTGCGCTGCCTACCATGACCTTGTGGTACTGTATAGCCGTTCATAGCAGCTATCTCACATGCTAAGCGTCGTGATTCTTGACGCTCAGCTTCGCCTGTGCACATATTCGTTGCTGTTCTCAGCATGTTGTTGACAACTGCACGTTTGACGACCTGTGGATGAGCTGACGTAGCGTGGAGCAAGATATTCTTTGAACTGGCTTTACGGTACCACTTCACGCTAACGAATGCCACTGGATACTTTTACTTGCGTGTTGAGGTAAGGGAGCCAACCGTCGTGTGGTGTTTCTCGTGTGAGTCTAATGTACTGCGACTGTTCATTCATAATCCGAAAACATTCGTACCGCTAGGTGTACGAATAAACGAGCACCTAACTGGTATGAGGCGGGGTCGGCTCACGACAGCGCTGGGTAGACATAAAAGTGAGGAGCATAATGGCGACAACTTCGAGATCAAGTGTATAATATTGGCGCAGGAGACGGAAATTTCTGCTAGGAAGGCGTTGGAGGCGTTTTGGATTTCCAGCAGGAATCCTAGGATGAACAGCAGAGATGAGTGTCCGTCAATAGCTAATGACTTTTTGCCGTTCATGCCATACTGCGAATTATAAGTAGCGGTGTTACGTGCGTCTCCTTAACATTATACGTATAAGGAGACCCTACAGTAGGTCTCATTCGCTACTGACTAACAGACGGCGGATTTGCGGTGGAACCCTGGTGAGTGCGCTTTTCGAATTTTGTAGAATTTTCTTGTTGAGTTCCGAACACATCATCGGAACTGCTAGGGTTGGTTGGGCGCTTGGCGGGGTAGTGTTCATCTCCTAACTCGAAACGCGTTTAGGCCTCTGAAGAAGACGACCACGTCGAAACGTTAGGCCGCTAAATAAATATTCCACCTGAAAACCTCGAGTGGCACAGTTTGCTCAGATTTTACTATCCCTTCTACTGAGAGGCCGGTGCACGAGAAGACATATACCGGCTATAAAATGTCGCTACAGCAATCACAACATGCTTTCACGAGTTTGAAACGCCCTGTAAATATTACTCACATGAATGATGCAGCATCCCGCTAAATTGGAATCAGAGCTATGTAGCACATACAACTGTCGAGTGTTTCGTTCTGCCAAGTTCTTATTTCACCAGAAGGTTCTTCCTTTTTTGTTTCAGCCACATTAGACTTTTCTGTTGTACTGTTTCTGTTGGTCTTCAAAAAGGAATCATTTCAGCATGAATATAGTCGTGCTCAGCCTTGCTATTGCCAGAATCGTGCTAGCTCTGCCTGGGCTGTATTCACAAGGACGAGGACAGATCTCGCATCCACACGGACGAGGACAGATGGAGAAGCCGCAGCAGAGAGAACACACATTGCATCTACAGGAGAGAGACAAGATTTTGCTTCTACAGGGACCTGGACAGATCGCGCATCCACACGGACGAGGACAGATGGAGAAACCACAGCAGGGAGAACGCACAAGGCATTTTCAGAGAAGAGAGAAGATTTTGCTTCTACAGGGACAAGGACAGATTGCGCATCCACATGGACGAGGACAGATGGAGAACCCGCTGCAGAAAGAACACACATTGCATCTACAGGAGAGAGACAAGATTTTGCTCCTACAGGGACGTGGACAGATCGCGCATCCACACGGACGAGGACAGATGGAGAAACCACAGTAGGGAGAACATCGAAAAACAATTGATTATCTATAAAAGGGTTATAAACATTGTTAATAAGAAGATCATCAATAAAAGGAAACAAGAAAGCTAGGCAGCTTCCAGAGGAAAACTTAGGCATAGCGTTAGGGGTAGGAGCACATTACTGTCAACTATCAGTTCTGGGAATCATCGTGCGATGATATTGTGCACCAACCGGCTGGCAATTTAAAACTGAGCTGTGATTGTACTGCTGTTTTCACTGTTTTTATTATAAAACCGATACTTCGGAATGTTTTTCTTTATACATTGCCTTTAGGGCCTCTGGATCAAATGAGATATGTAGTGAGAAGCTCATGAAAGGCTATTTACTCCCATCTTGAGAAAATAGCCGGCAAAAACACGGCAGTTTGAGTTCCCCATATATTTTCAGTGCTATTCGAAATATTAGAGGAGGAAGGTTCAATGGAGAAAAAACTCAGTGAAAAAGGATACGCAATATAAGCACTGTAATTGATCACAAGTAAATGGTACAAGCTGTTGTTCTGATGGGTGCAGTGGGTGTTATGGGCGTAGGGGGCATATAAAAACACAGAATCTGTCGCGCTTCATTTCATGGAAGAAAGCAAAACAACAAGATCATCGATACTGCTGAGCTTTCTCTCTGGCTTGGTTCAGCTGTTTCACGATGTCTCTTCCTAAAATAATCCGCATCGCCTTGTCCCGTGTCTCGAATCGCGATCCTTCCGCTTCGTCGATTCTGAAATGCTTGTTTAGTGAGACTGATCCATTTTTTATTTGCAGTCCTCGTGGAATTAAAAGGAGGAGAATTTGTGGTTTTATATCCAGCGAAAAAGAGATACGAACACATAAATACCTTTGACGAACATCAAAATATGTATTGGAGCTACGTTCTGATCATGTGGACTGTTCGAAGTGCCGAGGAAACGGCTAACATACTCAACAACATTTGATTTTTGTCCCTACGGCTCGATTTTCAGTTAGGGTGACGGAGAGCGACCTCTGCTTCGATCCTTTGATTTTCTGAGCTGAACAGCGGGTTCTCGGTCGCACACCTACGATTCAACCCTAACACTCCCAGTATTCTTCCGACAATCTATTCACTAATATTTGTCTCATTAATGCTATTGAAATTAGCTGCCAAGTCGACGCAAGTAGGCCTCGGGACCAGCCTGCAAGCGTAATGAGTGCTTTTGTGCCTGGAGAATAAGTGCGAATCGTACCCAACGGTCATCCAAACGCTGACATGCACTCTTGCTGTGTAACCACAAATGGTGCACTGTGCGCACCAGAAACCTTTCAGAACATTGGCGAAAAATCACGTCTGTTATGCGAATTTTTTCATCTTCAAGCCACTCTTTTTTGGGTGTCTATTCTTTTTTTAAATCACTGCAAAGAGCAGAAGACAGTTTTGGGACCCGAAAATATTGTAGTGGAACTACACGAAACCCGAAAAATGTGGGCAGTAGGGTAACCCAATGGACACGAAAGTCAGTCGTTACGCAAAAAAATTGCAGCCGGTGCAGCATGTACTCCTGAGGGCTACTGTACCTCAGCAAACACCTTGTCAGATAGGAAACAACATAACAACCAGAAATCAGAGGTAGCAGATAAGTAGCGTGTTTTTCAATGGTCACACGTGTAGCTGGCAGTTGGCACCGCTGGCGGAGTATGAAGACGGCACCTAGGCCTCACTGCCCTCCAGCCCCTTTCTTGTTAATCTCTGAGGGAAGAAAGTAGCTTGCTGCCACAGTTTCGGACCCAGTCGCCCAACACCTAGGAAGAGCTAGCAGGTGAGTACACAGTTTGTCTTTAGAATGTGGAAAAAAAGTAAAAAGAAAAGATAAAATGGAAAGCTAACACGCGAAATAGAGCGCAAAAACGTGTAAAATAACAATGGAAATGACTATAACTTTGAAAGTTTGTCCCCACCTCAAAGGTGACCCAACGATTGTTCCTGCAAGTACACCCAACAGAAATCGGTGGAAATGCTTGAATGTGGGGAGGCATTCGGCGTCGTTGTCGTTTTTGGAAGCCGAATACCGTATCTGAAGATCGACCAAAAGGCACAATTTTTAATGGAAACATCATACAACAATTTCTGTAGTCGGGTTTCAAAACACATTAAATACAAAATATCTAAAATAATAAATCTATGATGCTGTAAACTCCGACTCCCGGAAAAGGGGAAGGCGTGGGGAGCACTTTATTCTAATGTGGAGAAGGCAGCGCTTTTGTGGCACATTGCCGTTTTGGTATCTCAAGTGGAAAACGAAAACATCAAAAGCGTCTCTCATGCTATGCTCAAACGAATCACGCGGCCACGCCCTCTCCAGCTGAGGGAATTGAAGCCAGACAAACCTGCTTTGGCTGGGGTTGTTCGTTGATGAAGTTGAGTATTCTTCTGAGAGATGCTTCATATTCCCTAATGCTCGTATACTCACACCTTAAAAAGACTTTGATTGGAAACAATGGTAGTGAATAGGTTCTCTTTCATACACCTGAAGCCTCAATTGCTCTGAAGTAGCCAGCGATCTACAAATGGAGGGTTAAGTGTGGCCGATGTTGTTGGTTCTGTTGTTAGAAGGACATGTGAGATAGATACAAGAAAACGACGAGCAACAAAACATTTATCGTACCAGGCTGAAAGAAAATTCTGAAGCATTCATTTAGCGTGGAGCACAGGTCAATAGGCCGTCTAATTGAGATCAGCTGACGCTCACAGCAAGCATTTCTGGAAGTCAGTGGCAATCTCATGAGGTCGCCTCATCAAGTGGGAATTCATTGAAGTTGAAGGCACAGTAGGACATGCATGGGCGGGATGAAGATATCGAGGGCTGAGCCTTGCTAATAAACGTATTGAGTACTTATTGCAGCAGCACAGCTGATACTAATGGAAATATTCGTAACGCAAGCTTCAAGACAAACTCGGAGTACTGCCTTTGAGGCTAAGACTGTGTTGATCATACTTTGCGCAGTCTATCAAGTGACCCGCTCAGCGTCACCACCCATCATGCGGCGTTTCGGAGGTCCGTCAGCGACTATAAAGTATAGACAGCGGCTCTAGCGTGAACAGCGCTCACCGAAGTCATCTCTCCCCGGCCCCCTTACGAGCCCGTTCCCTCCAGCCAGCCAACAGCTGGCTGCATGCGAGTGCTTAGGAGAGTATGTGCGATTTCATCAGTCTGGCGTCCCTTCCTTCTCCCGCTTGCTCCTATCGCACGACGTCTCCATTTCGCGGGAAAGGTCTGATTATGGAGTCTAACGTCCACCACGTTTCGAATGCCAAATTTGAATGCTCCAAGGTCAAATGCTTGCAAGGTTTATACTCCTCATCATTACGGACTGTCGGGGCTGGTCAGTGCGGCTGCGTTTTCCCGCGTGCAAGTCTTGCCTCACCAGTGTTGAAAGCATCAAATTACATCAACAGCATTTATCCTTTCGTATTACGCGTTCCTACGCACTTTTTTCGCATACGCGCTTCAAGAATAAGGCTCGAGAACGGACTCTCAAACAGGCCTTGGGGCAGCACTCCTTCTGGGCCGATTACGCCTTGACATGTCCTAAGATGAGGTAGTGTAATATCTGAATACTTACGTCATCAAATGTCACCACAAATCTGTAGAACAATGTCCCGCGCGAATGAACAGGCGGCTGTCATGGGCATACCACAGGACTAGGCTGTCCGGCGTGTGTCCAGGTGTCCATATAACCTGCAAATACGTTGTCATATTAAAGACAGTGTGAGAATGGTCAAAAGTGTTAGAATATTTGTGGCTGTGGACACTTAGAAAAGAAGTAGGAGAAGGAAAAACCTAATAAAAGTTACCTTCACCACGTTGTGAGCTTCAGAAGAGGATCCCAACAGGAGCGTTTCACCATCGTTCAGCGCATTTGGTTAACCTTATGTAATCTTCGGGTCTCCATCTTTATCTATCGCATAGTTAACAATGACGAAGTGAAAACAATAACAGCAGTTAGCAAAATCTCGAAAAATTCCCAAAAAAAGCTATGAGGGCGTTGCATCCCTGAACCCCTCAGTGGGTGCCTCACACGTTCTTGTTGGGGTGGACTAAACCGCAGACGTGTGCTAACATCTGTATTAGGTAGTTGTCCCGGAAAGTTCTTAGCGTTTTGGGTGTTTAACTTTAAACGATCATAACTTTCTTAACACTCATCGGATTTAATCCAAATAAGCACCATTCGAATCAGCACACTTTTGCCAATGTGGCAGCAGTCGAGAAATCCCATCAAAGAAACAATGGCGGGAAGGGGGGGCCTGGGTGGTCGAGAATCCACGAAATCTGCGAAGGTCTTTTTTGCCTGGTCCTGTTTGATGAAGTATTTCTCAGCAGGAAAGTTCTGAAAATGTCTGAAAAGGTGACAGTCGGTTGGTGAAAGGTCTAGAGAATATGGTGGGTGAGGTAGAACTTCAACTCCCAATTCGTTCAATTTATGATAGTGATTGTGAAACGCCTCAGGCCTGTAGGCAGGCGTCTGTCATGCAAGAATCGGACCCTTCTTTGTAAGTGCTTGGCCATGCAGTCTTGACAATGATGTTTCGGTACATTTGGTCGCGTTTGTCACAGTAGGGTTCTGCCTGTGACTGGTTTGACCTTGTGGTGATTGAAAACGTTTATAGTGGATTACACCAGCCAGTGACAATCCAACCTTGCCAGATTTTTTCTTTCAGCGAGTTCGCGCTTTTGAACATTCACCACTCGGTGTTCCTCAATCCACACATGTCCGGAACGTCTCCTTGTTATTCCTACCATGATCCATTTTTCATCAGCAGTGGACACAATCCGTTCAAAATACGGGTCAATCTTTTGCCGCAACATGCAACTGCAGAAGGAACTCGGAGTGCGGATTCCGCACGGTCACTCGCATTCGTGGGCGCACCCAATTGTCGAGTTTTTCACCTTTCCCAATGCGCTTCCAGCATTCTAGCGAACGATGTCGATTTGCAAACGACTAAGCTCTTCTGCCTATCTTTCGAACTGTTTCGGTCAGTAATCAGCTCCTAATCCTGCTCAAAATCCTCCGTCAGATTGCTTTATATGGTCGTATCGTATTGAGGGTTTTCACCTTCAGACTGAAAATTCACAGAACGACATTTGGTTGAGCTCATTCCGGCACAGTGCTTTCTCTAGAACTATTGATGGCCTCCAGCCCTGCGTGTTAAATTTGTTGACTGGTTTCGATGTGCGGCATTGCCCCGGAATTTATAGTCTCAACCTACTTAAGAATAAAGAATGAACAACAGGAGCCGACAGAAAAAATCGTTTCCGAGTGCTCTTTTCACATGCTTGAAAATCTTGAAAAAAGAGGGTTTATCATGCAATGGTGAAACGGCAATTATACCATCAGATAGCGCAAGAAATTCTCTAAGGATGTTACTGCTCTGCAGAGCAAGCAGAATGAGATCTGTAATCATGCAGTTGAATCGATACAATATTAGGTGCACAAAACGCTATAAGAACTTTCCGGACAACCTAATAGAACACTCCGAGTCTGATGAAGTAGTGAACAAACTCGGGGTCAGGCAAGAAAATACAACAACAGTGGGCCTCATCTAGCCCTGCCAGAAGAAGGGCGCCTTTTGGGAGAAAAAAGAATGGAAAAACCATTCGAACAAACTGGGGATTTCATCCTCCATTATGTCATTAAGATAGGTTACTTACCATCCTTTTTTACTCATGTTCATATGATACAGAAGAAAAGTTATCATTTTCCAATTTCCCGTTTGATGTCAATCTAGACTCGCTTCTGGACTCTAGGAGAGTGTAGCATCCTCTATCTAGGATCCTTAAGAGAATAGATACCAACAAGTAATTTCGAGTGTATGGTGCCAGATCTCATAGTTGTTGAGTGAAACTTTTGCTGTTTCAATTGCGGGTAATAAACGACATTGAGTACGCTTCACTAATTAGTAATCGTCATGATCTCTGCAAACCATATGTGAGGGGTGCTCCCGAGGCAGCCTTCTCGGCCGACAGTACCGTAGTGAGTTTGCAGCAGTTGGTGAGGAAAACTGTTTTGACTGCGCTCCATTTCATACCTGAAGGCATATGGCGCTGTAATTCAAAACTTGCTCAAAAATAGTAGCAGGGGTGCCATGTAGTGGGGAAAATAGCGAAAGAGCGGAGATAGGCGGCAAAGAACCGGCGAAAAGCCTTTGTTCTGCACTGAGTTGAACGGGCATTTTCGGGCGAGTTTCCTGTTGGTATCGCGCCAACAACCGCTTTGCTAGATATGGCTGCACCTGGGTATTCATATACCCATGTAGCAACGCTTCATATCAATTGTACTTCATACCTCAAGCGACAAGGGTACCAGTGTCGATGTGACTGTGCAGCCATTAATGGCAAGCGAGGCAGATGTGATGGCCGTCTGAGGCAGCATATTGCACCTTGATTAGTCATGCTGCCCTTCGTTGGAAAAAGCGCCACATAGCGCCTGCTCAGGGGACGATATTCTTTCGTGCCAAGCATATCGACCCCGCACAAGAAGAGGAGATTTTCAGATGTGGTCGTGTTTGCAAACCTTTTCCCAGAGCCAGGACGTGTATTGGATGGAACACGAAGTAAACGCATTACAGTATTGTTTGGTAGGACCTATAAAGAGCAGCCCTGAACAGCAGCGGTCCGACTTTTCGGCGAAGTTGTTACCTGCTTTTTCTGCTTCTGCACTTTTTTAGGAGGGGAAACGTAGTCACTGTCCTTATCTCCACATTTTCATCACAGCATGACATCTACAAATGAACCTCAAAGTACCTGCCACTGCCATTTGCTATTCCTCAATTGAGTGTAATATTTATCTCGTCCTGAAGCGCAAAGGTCCTCTACCATATGTGCCATACCAAGCCTGCCTGTAGTCGAGAAGCGGAAATTTCCACCT